TTAATATAAATGATATCATTTAATATTTCTTATTTATGACTGGTTTATTTCATTCAGAATAAAGTTTTCCAGGTTCATTCATGTTGTAGTATGTGTCAAAATTTTATTTACATTTATTTTGATTATTGAATAATATTCCACTTAATGTATATATCACAGGGATATTGTGATTTATAATAAGAAATATAGTGTATGGCCATGCCATCCTGAACATGCCTGATCTAGTCTGATCTCGGAAGTTAAGCAAGGTCGGTCCTGGTTAGTATTTGGATAGGAGACCACCTAGGAAGACTAGGTGCTGTAGGCATAAAAATAAATAAATAAAATAATAAGGGATTGTAAGCTGACAAGGTCCTTACAATCTGTGAGGCCAACCAAGGGTTGCCTCGCCTATAATAATAATAATAATAATAATAAATAAAACAAAATAAAAGTTCCTGAATCCATACTGAAATCAATCAATCCATCAATTAATTAGTAGGGGAGAGGAATTCTTTCTTTAGCACAATTCCAAACAATATATGCAGGTACCGACCCATTTTGGGAGGAGCTTAATGTCTCTCCTATTGAGTGCTACCTAGACTTTGTGATTTACTTTCAAAATGTGAAAGATGGAAAAGAAAAAATAGTAACTTTACAGTGGAGAAATCTGACAGGCACTACTCTGACCAAGTGGTCGACATTAACATCACTAGTGATAAATCATGATGCTGTCATGTACCCTCTAATGTGATGCAGTGAGAAGGGTATCTTACTTCTCTGATATTTTCCCCCCAAACTCATAACCCCAATATAATCATGAGAAAACATGAGACAAAACCAAAATGAGAGACATTCAACAAAACATCTCACAAATACCCTTCAAAAATATCAAGGTCTTGTAAAGCAAGGAAAGCCTAAGAAATTTTCACAGACTTGAGATAAGAGAGACATGACAACTAAATATTATATAGGTTCCTAGACTGGATTCCGGACAGAAAAAGAAAATAGTAGAAAAACTGGTGCAATCTAAACAAAGTCTATGGTTTTAAAAAACGAACAAACAAAAACCCTTTGACTAAGTACTATCACTCTTAAGT